TTATTGTTAATTAATTTTAGATGTTTAATTACTATTTGGAGCACTGGGATCAATATACAAGGGCTTAATGAACTCATTTTTGTGAAAACCTGAAATTCGACCAAAATCTACATTTTTCATTTGTTCTGTCTGTAGCTCAAAATTAGCCAAAAGTGCTGGGCAACGATTAATCGCATTTAAAATAAAAAATTTTGTGTACATAATATATGTGTGTGTACTATGTATATTTATTATATATATAAATGTACTTCACGTTCAAATTTTTCATCACAATTGGATGCCTCACTACACACGCACACACACACACACACACACACACACACAGATCAGTTGTATTTCTCTCTAGTTTTCTTATTAATCAATGCTCATGCACAAATGTGGAGAGGAGCATCCCCTTATTTCTAATACAATAATTTTTGAAATGCAAGTACTGTGAAGTCAGAGACATGTTAGCTGAGAGCTGTCAGTCATTCCAGAATGGGATTCCCTGTCTCATTTCTGCTTGGTTGATCTTTCTCCTTCAGTATTCATAGACTCATCAATAGATCATTACTCTGAACTCCAACCAATTCAAACAGAAATCCCACCCATGCTTGCACATGATTGGTTGCATGAATAATGCCCATTCATAAATGAATGATTTAAGGGATAGAAATTACAGACTTGAGTAGATACAATTTTGTGGCACTGAGAAATTAGTTCAAAATATGTAATGAGTGTTTGCGTTTCCTTGTCTATAAAATTTCAAAAGCAACTATCCAACATTTTTTGACTTCCTCACAATAAATGGTGAACATTTCAATTATTAGTAACTCTTTACATGGCATGCAGGAACAGTCTATGTATAGGTTACAGCAATGACAAACCTGGTTTAGTATAGTTTTAGAAAAGCGTTGCAGAGTTAATTTCACAGGCTTGTTGATTCAATCGCAGCAGTTTAATTGCACAGCCACAGTATTTAACAAATAGATCAGTACATGAACATGAAATAATGATTTAAGTTCTTATTATTTAATTATTCTTCTTACACACACATGCAACAACACCTAATAGTTTGAGGTTTAGTGTTTTATATTTATGGGTGATGGATTATGAGATCTCATAATTCATAAGAGAGAGAGGTGAGTCAAGGTTTTATTAGATTTGAGACAATTCTGTGCCGGATCATAGATTGTTAAGCGTGTTTCTTTAATGATGCTGTATTAGAAGAAACTAGAAGGAAGAAAAGTTCTAAACTAAAGACCAAATAACTTTAAGAAGGCCAAATTCATCTGAGCTCCATCAAGCTGTTCTCCTAAATTTTGGAAAAGCAGGAAGAGTTTTGAGAAAACCATTAATAAGGCTAAAGTTACAGTAACAGCCCATCTACTCTATCACTCTTTTTTCTCTTTGTGAAAAGTTTCTATTGAACTTTGATTTAAAAGAAATAAAAAAATAAAATAAAAAAGACTAGTTTCCTTTGTAAGCAGTTAATAGACTAAAAAGAGAGAACATTTGGCAACCTGCATTATTCTGCTCAATTTAGATATTGTTCTATGTCAATCATATCTCAAAATGAAGTATAATTGGTAACAATGCACTCCAGATTCATTTAAAGTACAAGGCATAAGTGTAGTTTGAAAAAGTGAAAAGGCTAAATTTTTATCAGAGTTTTACTCACTTTTCTTGACACCGCTGACTTTCTGTAAAGATATTTCACATTTCTAAAATGTGAAATATGAGGAGGGAGATTATTTTTTGTTGAAAAATAGGTGTGAAACTTACAAACTGAAGTCGACAGGTAGAAATGTAGCACTAAATGACTTTTATGCTTAGATTTTGCACCTTGTATATTGTACTCACTTTGATTTGTCTAAAAACAATGCTTAGACATAGACTAAAATGTTAGAAAAAGTACTTGGACATTTTCACCTCATTATATATGAGGAAAAGCATTTTGTTGGAACGTGTTGATCGTCTAGTGGAAAAACATCCCGTAATAACTACTCTATTAAAAATAAATAAAGGTTGTTTTTGCAGCAATGCCATAGAAGAACCATTTTTGGTTCCCAAAAGAAACTTTCAGTGAACAGTTCTTAGAAATAAAAGATTTGAACATTTTAATTAAGGGAAAA